CTTCGTTCCTCGTGTTGTCTTCAACTTAGGGGCTGAGTACCCTAGCCCAAAAGAGGTTAACCTTTTCAGTTATAGTAGGATTAGGGGTTTAGGGGTTTAGGGTTTAGGGTTTAGGGTTTAGCCTAAACCCTAAACCTTAAACCCTATAAACCCTAAACCCTAAACCCTGGTTTAGGGCGACGTTTTGGGGCTTAGAGGCTTGCAGCGGTCAAGGCTGACAAAGGTGCATAGACGGAGCCTGTATGCAGCTTGTGGATTTTCATGTCCCAGGGTCGGCGACGTACTGTAGGAGTCAAAATGCAAGGTTTAAGGTTTAGGGTTCAGGGTCCAAGATCTATGAACGTTTCTCGAGAATATGGCCCAAGTTAAAGCCAGAGCGACTGCACTGCAGTAGTCATAGAGTCTGGTCGAGGATGACGAATGTAGAACGCAGCCCCGAATTGGCTCCTTATTTAATGTTGATAGTAGCCCTTATCACTCATAGTAAACCCGCATAGAATTCCTGAAAGGAACCGCATTCTAATTCTTTAGCGCCCCTAAACCCTAAACCCTAAACCCTAAACTATGACTATGACGATGAAAGGCCACTCACCAAGCACGAGCTTGCTCAGGAGACCGCGACTCGGCTCGATTGGGTTTCGGTTTAGGGTTTAAGGTTTCGGGTTTAGGTTTAGGGTTTCTGGGTGTTTGGGGTTTAAGATTTAAGTTTTTCAGGGTTGAACGCATTTGGGGCTTTGGGATAGGGTCATGTTGGCGATTATGGGGTGGCTATACTAGCAATATAAAGGGAACCCACAGGGACAGCATGACTCTTTCTCAGGATCCGATGTTATTATTGTAGGATGGTGTATCGCTCGTTTGGGCTTCGTCTCGAAGAGATTGGATGTCTTGCAGACGGTTTCTGCAGGGGTGCAATTCCAATCTCCTTCAGCTGTTTTTAAGCGAACCCTCGCCATGCGAACGTGCGAACAAATTCATGAATCGGAGGTTGAATCTCAAACGGAACAGAAGTGGAAGGCAATGACTTCGCTTCGGCAGTTCGGGGGCGGGTTAAAGAATGAGAGGATGATTCAGCACAGCCCCGAACCCTAAGCCCCATCCCAGACGTTTATTTAAGCTTTCTTGGCTTCCTGCGCAAGGCCAGCGCCGAGGATCTACTAAATCATAGGGCTACCCATGGGCTCCATTGCAGTTCCTTTTTGGGATTGCCTTCTAGGATCCTAAATATGAACCACAAAAAGGAACCACCATGGAGCCTATGGGTATAGGGGTCTGAATAGTTAGCAAGAGTATCCCTCGACAGCCCTTCGCTCATGGCAAGAATGTTGGATGACAAGAGCCGTTTCAGACCAAGCTGTGCCCGTTCAGCAGATGGCACTTCATCGCTCGCCCTCGACACTCCGTTCATCCATCTTAGGATCCTCGCTCCTGCCTCCCCAATGGTGCCTCAGTGCTCGCGTGGCCAGCAGAGCATGGCGAGATGGCCTGAATAGTCAGTTGGCGCGACTGGAGACCTTAAGAGTGCTGCTGGAGTGTATCGATGAATCGGGTCTTCCTGATGACTTTGATGCCATGGTCATGGCGGGGGAGGTGACAGCGCCCTGCTTTTGCCGCCCGAAACCCCAGTTTGATGAGGCAGTGCGAGCGCTGGCTAAGAGCCATTTTGCTTGGCAGCCCGGAAGTGCCTTCATTCCTTTGGGGCAACTTTCAGGTCGGACCTTGCAGGCGGTGGTGCACTGTGGGGATCGACAGCTTCTAACTGTGGAAGACTCCGTTAAGGTGAAGCATCTCAAAGAACCTGCGGACTTGTATAGCTGGACGCGCAAATTCTGCGGAGATCTTCCAAACAACCAGCGCTCAGCTCTAGTCTTGGTGTTGCGGCTTTTGCTGGAGAGCTACTCCTTCACCACAGTTTTGGTACTGCATGCGAACGTGATGGACACTTTGGTCTCAACCATCCACGCCATGCTGTGGGAGAGGAAGTGCACATAAGGAATCTTCAGAGGGAGGCTTCGAGCTTTCCACTGTGATGGATTCTTCTATAGCCAGTAACATGGACCATTGGGGCGGCATTATTACTGGCAAGCCCCTATCTGCTTGTTTGACGGACTTCTTGACCACAAGGCTCCGACAGATTTCACCGGCGACAGGTTTTGGGATCTTGCCCAAAGGGCTGATTGAGGACCTATACAGTGTGAAGTAGTGTGTGTCTGAAAGCCCTAGAGCCTAAAGCCTCAAGTTGCTATCAATTCTTGGGTAAGTCTCCCCTATAGAGCTGCGGCCACAGGACCCGCTCCACAAAAAATACAGTTGGGACAGCCCCAACCAGGCATTGGAGGTGACACAGCGCGTGCCTATGTGTGCTTAGGGTTTAGAGCTTCGGGTTTCGGGTTAGGGTTTTAGGCTTGAGGGTTTACGGTCGCCGCTGATATTCAGGTATACTCAGATTCATGCTAATGCTTAGGATAGGATGTACGAAATCCGCCAGTAATTTCGAAATCTATTTCAGAACAAAAACAAGGTTGTTGTTGATACGTGTCCTCGAACATTCCTCGTTTGGGCTGTTCTTGGTTTGGGTCGCGTTGCTCCCGAAACAAAAGCCTAGACCCTAAATCGTACAAGTGCCATGCTCCTGGGAATCTCCTCCAACTGATGTCTGCTTTGCATAGTGCCTATATCTGGACCCCAGATGCCCTTTCTTATTCGCGGTTCTACCCTAGATTCTTAGATGTTTAGGACATCCAGAGTCCAGGTACCGGGTCTCATAGACGACACCCCACAACCCCTATAATGAACCCGTGTAGTAACCCTGATAGCCGTAAAGGAACCCTTCAAGTAGCCCTTAAAGGAACCCTTGAAATAGCCCTTAAACTGGCTGGGCTAGTGCGGCCCTTAGTAGTCAGAATGGGGCTTTAGGTTTATAGGGTTTAGGGTTTAGATTTTAGGGTTTCAGGTTTAGGATTTCGGGTTTAGGTTCATAAGGCTGAGGACCTAGGATAATCAGGGTAAAATGTGGAGGAACAAAAGTAGAGTTCTGAGGGATTCACGGATGCCATTTGGATGTATTGCTGAAGCAGCAAGACACGTAGGCTTACTCAGGCTTTCGAGGATCATCATTTCCATTTCTAGTGCCACCCTCGTAGGGTTTCGTATTCCCCAAGACTTGTTCCGNNGGGCAACGACTCAGTGCGCAGAGCGTCGAAACTCGGACAGCTAGCGGTGCAGGGAAGCATATCGAAACTGGAGGTCAATTCCGGATATTGGCATTCATGGCTCTCTGCTCGATCATTCCACAAGGGACACAGGACATCGGACTCTCCGTACCACCGTTCTAAGTCCTCAGGCCCTCCCTGCTTCCACTCTGATATCGGGGCTAGGCCTCCTCTCTGATCCCGAGTTTCGTATGCACAGTTGAGGAATGGCTGGCTGCTTGGCAGCGATTCGTAGACCTTCAGCGTGGCTTGAAGTGGCTCTACAGCCGAACTGCGGAAGGTCAGCGATGAGCCCGAACCTGCCCCCGTACGGGCAGAAAGCCACACTAAACCCCAAACTCTAAGGTTCGCTATGCCCAGAGTTACGCCACAAAGTCCTGGCGATGGGAACCGAACTTTGTCGTGGCCAACCTTTACAAAGACCAGGACGTACCCTCCAGCAATGTGGTGTTTAGGGTTTTGGTCTAAGGTTTATTTACTACGAGTGTCTTCTTACAGTCTCGATGCAATCGGCGGCTGAGGTTGAGGGGTTAGGGTCCCTGGAATCAAAAGACGTTTGGCTAAAATGGGCCAGTTCTAGGTGTAATATAGCAGCCTGAACAATTTGTACGCCGTTCCTTCTGGTTTTTTTGGTATAAGTACAATATACCAGATAACTCAAAGCCATTTAATTCACCTCCCCCCTCATAAACCCTAACCCTAAACCCTAAA